CTGGAGTGCCAGTCCACTCTGAATCATGTTTGAATTTAAAGAGAGCTTTTGAAACACTGCTAAGCTTGATTGACTAAAAGCTGTGAAAATTCTGCTGCTGCTCAACTGGAAAGAACAAAGATAATATTGTCAAACCATTATAAACTGTTATTTTAATTAAGAAGCTCAAAACTAGAGTCCAGTTTAGCCTTAAGTACCATGACATTTGTACAGAAAGTCATCTTCAACGCTACAGTGATTTTACACAAAATATGGTGAAATTGAATAATATGTCCTTTGACCTGAGAGATAAGGCTACAAGTTAAAGATCAAAGGCAATGTAAAATGTGTTTGTCCTAATTCACTTTTAAGTTAGATTCTTTAAGTTGTGTTCTATTATCCACACACATACACACAAAGATGTGGCTGTTATACATTTTAATTCTTAATTTTACAAATGACACTTTATTTTATCTTTACTTTTAATGTATCAGATATAAAGTGGATTTGGAAGTTATTTGATAATTTCTTAATATGTGAATAAAGATGTAATAATATATGAGAAAGAGGATAAAATCTGAAATTTACAAAATACATTTAGAATCATACAAGTGCTCTGGCTAGTGATGGTTTGAAATCATACTTTAATGATGAAGAGAATTTTCACTATGCTATTTGAATACCTATGGAAAACAAACCTGTTGGCAGGACACCGTTCTATACAATCAGATGTATAGTAAAGCATAAAGATGGCCTTTGGAGTATGGTAACAACTCCCTGTTTTTTGCTTTCCTGGTATAAAGAGCAAAAACACATTTCATGTGTGAAGACTTGTAAACACGAGAAATTTTATATTAAATGTTATATTTCTGGCTTTCCCTCCCAGTTTTTATAACTATATTATATATAATTTTTTTCATTACAATTGCCTATTAAAGTATAGAGAAATTAGACCACTTTTGTTGAAATTCCAATAAATTATTAATATCCATGAAAAAAATCTGAATTTCTTCTTCTCAACTATGGCAGGAAATATCTCATAAATGGCTACCATAAACATTTCATCTAATTTCAGTCAGAAGTAAAAACAAGCAGAGAACCTCTTAGTAAAACAGATTGCAATTGATCTTGCTACAAGAGTGGCCTAGTAAATTAATACTTACATGTAAATTTAATTAAATGTAAATTTATATGTAAAAGAGAAAATAAATATAAATTTAATGCTACAGCTTTCATATTTAATAAACATCAAGTTTGTTTCACAGGGTAATGCATTTAAAAATCCAAAGTGAGCTAAATACAACTAATAAATACAATTATACAAATTTAAGTTGTATTATTTTTTCACTTGCAGAGTACATGCAAGTGGATGCAACATTCCAGCCATGCCTATTCCTCATTTTGTTGTGCCTAGGGCAGGAACTGCTATTTTAAGCACAAGAACAAAAGATAAGCAAGAGTAGCTGAGAACCAGGGAAATAATAGAACAATATATGCAAGGAAATGTTTTTAAGGTTGTTTTGACTATATCTTTATTGAATAATTAACCTTACTATACTAATACAACCTAATTTCAGAAATAACATGTGAATTATTCTTAGGAAGCAAAATATATAATCCACTCTATGTGTAATCAGCAAATCCTTTCATGATGATAAGTCAAGAATGTAGGATTCTAATATCAGACGATGAAGAATTTCATGGCAAATGACATAATATGTTAAATGTACCTTTAGTACTACTAGCCGGTGATTGGAATACAGAATACAGAGTGTTGGAAAGTGGTTAGCTTTGTATACCAGAAATAATGTATTTTAAAAATGATATGGCGAGAGAAAGGCCTAAGTTACCTAAGGCTATCAACAACGAAGAGCCTGTATAGCAGAGGTCCCCAAGCAGAGGTCCCCAATCAGGGACAGGTTCCATGGAGAAAGGTTTTTCCGCAGACCGGAGAGTGTATGGTTTTGTGTGCTGCCTGCATCCCACAGATGGGGCTTTGCTTGTTTGTGCGGACCGGTTGCTGGCATGCTGCGGCCAAGTACTGGTCCACGTACCGGGGGTTGGGGACCCCCGCTGTATAGTATGCTTTTCCTCCATTATAGAAAGAGAAAGGAAGTCAGGTAAAATGCTCAGGTTGGAATTAGAAAAGAACGAGAACTGAATTGAGAAAAGAAAGAGCTGATCAAAGTGTTTAGAATATCAGTCAAGCCAATAGGAAGCATGTCACATAGAGATATATAAAGGGAATCTTTAGAAAAGGAAAGTGCAGAGTTCCCTTGCTATCCATCTCTACATCAGTTGAGTGAAGCGATTAATAAGTTTATTATTAGGTGTGGAAAGTTTGGGAATCAATGTAACTATGTAGGGCACATGGAATAAGAAATATGGACAGGAATTCTTTAATTGAGTAAACACAGTGATGCAGGATATAGGTTTGTTTTATTTCCAGCACCTGCTTTAAGTAACATAATAATATACATTATAAATGAATATTACAACATCAAAATCAAATTATGTACATAATGGGAATGAAAAGAGGGAGAAGCGTAATCCAGTCAGTCCTCTAAGTGCAATTTGTCGATAGACCATAAATTATTTGTATGGAAAATCTTAAATATAAAAATTGAAGAGACTAAATGTACTGGTAAGATTTGACTTGCAAGGTATAATGCCAGAATATAAGATATATCTACAGTATGTTATAGGTACAGATCGCTATTCTTAACTAACATTAAAAAAATCAAATAAAAATGCAAATGACATCAGAAAAATTGAATGACAGCATGTCTTAGATTTATGGGTGCTTTAATAGAACTCTGAAGGTAATTTTAAATGTTAAAGAAAACAGCAATTGTTACTGCTTTTACTTCTGATGGCTGCCTAAAGCATCTAAATACTGTTAGTATAGTACACTGGAATGATTTAGAAAATCTATTTGTATGGCATGAAATTTATATTTGAATCTGCTTATTGCCCTGATTGATTAGTATGTCTGGGAGAGAGGAGCATGGAGTATATTCATGCATCTCTCTGAGACTTTTATTATCATGAACAATTGTATCACTTTTGATCAAAGGAGTTCAATGTAAGTACAGGAAATATTGTTTTACAGAGGTACTGAAAAAAGTCAAAAGATAATGCTGGAGAATATCAGCATATTGTTATTAATATTGTGGTTTGATACACAGTCAGCTAGATGTTTACAGTTGGCATTTTTATCCACCTGCTGTGTCCTTCACAAGGATTGGAATAGGTAGATGTTGTTGTTTGATGGTAGTAAAAGTATCTTTTGCAATTGACAGATAGTGATTTTGTCAGTGCCCATGGTATTCAAGTGGTGCTCCATGTATATTTTTAGAATTAGAATAGAATAGAGCTGGAAGGGACCTTGGAGGTCTTCTAGTCCAGCCCCCTGCTCAAGCAGGAGAACCTATACCATCTTAGACAAGTGACTGTCCAGTCTCTTCCTAAAAACCTCTATTGATGGAGCACCCATCAAACTATTCCACTGGTTAATTGTCCTCACTGTTAGGAACTTTCTCCTTAATTCCAGTTGCTTCTCTCTTTGATCAGTTTCCAACCATTGTTTCTCATCCTTCCCTCTGGTGCTTTGGAGAATAATTTGACCCCCCTTCTTTGTGGCAGCCTCTCAAATACTGGAATACTGCTATCATGTCACCCCTATTTCTTCTTTTCTTTAGACTAGCTAAATCCAAATCCTGCAGCCATTCTTCATATGTTTTAGTCTCCAGGCCTTGGATCAACTTAGTTGCTTTTCTCTGAACTTTTTCCAAGGTCTCAACATCTTTTTTGT